CAGAAAAGAAAAAAAACACTGTTTCGTTTATTTCACACTATATAACGGAAAAAACCCTGTGAGAAAAAAAAAATTTCATTTCAAAAGAAAAGAAATGATTTTTGTCGCAGTTCTAATGAACGAAATGAGAAAGAATAAATTTTCTATTTTAACGTGAACGTAGTTTTCTATCTATCATTGTGAATTTAATACATAATCCGTCAACTTGATCAATTAGTGTCGCATTAAGTCGCGAGTACTTATGTGCCTTTTCTACTCTAACTTCGAGTGCACAAGTTACACACTATGCTTAGATATTTTTCAGAAAAAGATCGCCTGAATTTGCAGAGATATTGAAACCGAAAATTTCTGATGTTTTTTTTTTGCTTTCGTAGAAAAAGAAAAAGCGGTAAAATTGATTATTTGATCTGAAAACGGATATATAAATACCTATATACACATGTATAACTGATATTTATGAACAGGAAGAATACAGTTCAGCTTTAAATTGCGTTAGATTGTGGAACGGATAATAAAAATGAAAATTTGTTCTACTCTGTACATAGAAATGTATCCGATTTTTTTCATTCAGTAAAACCAGAGAAAGAAAAAGAAAAGAGAATGATATTGATCTATATCTACGCGTAGACTTATTTTTGTCGGCTTCGCTAAGTGCCTGCGTGTAACTTTACAATTATGTGGGTGTTTAATAATGCTTACAATGTGCCGGTATCCTTTAGAGCTTCATCATATTCCTTTTTCGATCTATCTTGATTCGTTCCATACAGCGTTTCATGTAACAATGCAATTAAATTTGCAGCTCTTCCAGTACCCTATAATACAACAAAGTTCTTTTTTTTACAACCAAATAACAGGTTTTTCGTTCAGTTTTTCAGAATGTAGAATGCTGTTCATGGTTTACGAATACTTTTTCTGTTGCTTGTTTTCGATCTATACACTGCTAATCATTTCCTACTGTTCGTTCCATTAAATGCCTTTCATACATAGATAGTGAGAAAACTTGACACTAAATGCATCCACGAATGTGCATGAACTCTCAACTTATCCAAGTAAATCTTATACATTTCTCTATGAAAGACGTTCATTGAACAATTTTGGCAGTTAAATCTAATAAAGTAGTATGTTGAACGGTCTGGTGAACATAAGAGGGAATCGAGGTTGTTTAAGCTTGACATCAGACCAGTAAGCGATAGTGTGTCGTAACATTCGAATAATACATCCTTTCATATAATTATACACTGATACCGTTTCGTTCAATGAGATATTCGTAAAAAATGTATCAAATATGACTACAAACGCGACTTGACCAAATACCTCTGCTACCGGAGCGAAATTCCGTAACGACATTTTTGTATTTTCTTTCCCATGAGATTTTTTTAAGGCGAAGGTTATTTTTAATTTTGTTTCGCTGCTGAGAAAATTCATGTTTTCTAAATTAGAGACGAAAAACTCGAAATTCTGCCCGTAATTCTCAATTTTCTGGATTAAAACTCAACTTTTATCCAATAAAAATGTTATATTCGGAATCAGGATCAAAAATTGAGTCGATTGATATGTATTTCTACCCTATCCGACTGCTTTGAACTTTTTCGAATTTTCACGTTTAAAAATGGCCGAAATTTCAGCCGAAAAAATTCGAAAAAGATCAAAGTAGTTGGATATAGTAAAAATACATATCAATCGACTCAATTTTTGATCCTGATTCCGAATATAACATTTTTATTGGATAAAAGTTGAATTTTAATCGAGAAAATTGAGAATTACGGGCAGAATTTCGAGTTTTTCGTCTCTAATTTAGAAAACATGAATTTTCTCAGCAGCGAAACAAAATTAAAAAAAACCTCGCCGTACTTTTAAAGCTGGCGTGTTGGCCGATGTGATGGTGTGTGAATGATCGGTATAGCCCTTCATCCCAAAAAACTAGATAGGTTTATAATGAGTCATACCCGCTTCGAGTTTTTCCTTAAGTTTGTGGGAAAAATCAGATTTTTCCACAGAAAAAAGCGTATTGAAGGAGGAAAAGATTTTTCTATACTTAATCTTGACTGAAACAGCGATTGGAAATAGTCTGACGACGAAACAAAATTATTTAGAGCATTTTCTGTGTTTTGGTCATTTCCAGCTCTGGCTATTGTGGGATCATTTTCCCCAAGTTGCATCGCTTTTGTCATTTTTAAACAATGCATCAGGTGCAGAATTTTTTGCTCTATTAAAATATCAAAACTCTATTATGGATTTTCGTTTGGTTCTTTAAGGTATTCAGTTTTTTTCATAAAAACCTGAAAATTTTAGTAAAATATTTTTTTGCGCCTACTATTTTAACTTTAAAATACTTTTAAATATCAAATTTTGTTTAGTTTTGTACGCTCTTTCGAATGAAATGTCGCTCAAAAGCTTCGAACGAAAACTGACGGTTTTATACAAAAAAAGCTGAAATTGGTCAATTTTGGGGTTTTTTAAGCTTAGGTCTTGGGAAACTTGATTTTCTTCAGAGAAAAAGGACTTAAAAGGTTTTAAAAAGTTTTCGTCACCCCAGTTTTTCATGCCGAATCGAATGGTGCAACTCTTAATAAAATCTATTTTTCGCGATTGGCAGATATACTCGATAGGCTCGTGGAGGCTCTCTTAAAGTAACGAAAGAAGGCAGCGAAGAGTGTTGCAACAGAATATATTTTTAATGCGTCGTAAGACATTATGATTTTTATCTCGTCATAACACAATTATTTTTTCGAGAGCAGATCAACGCGATATATTATTTGATTCGTTACATCGCCTTGAATTTTTTGTAACAGGAAAAGTATGCTAATAACGCACTTTATCGTCCACCACAAAACCGGACTTTAACACGTGCTCAGAGCTCTGGAATGTCTTAGATTAAAGACAAAAGCGTGCTAAAGATTATGAGATATTCTTACAGTCTACATATTCTTTCTTGCAAAGACTCTGATGAAAATACATACACCTGCTTTTTCACATAAGTTTTGAAAAATGGGTGTTTGTATTTTCATACAACGAAGAATATCAAAAACCGCAAGGTAACAACGATATTCTAGCAATAAGGGTCTCCAACTAATAACCATTAACTAAGGTTCTTAGAGATAAAACCAGCACCGTGGTAAATCAAAAAAGTAGTGATGAGAAGCCTCCTGAAGATTATAGTCAGAATCACGTAGCTGATAATGTTGAATTAGAAGCTAACTCCGATGCTACTCAGTAGTGTTTTCCTTCTGATTTTTCATGGTTACTTTATCGTGGCTGGCTTTAAGCCTTCAAACGCATAGCTTCTGAAAGTCTCGGTGACTGTTCATCTTAAGCAGTTGATAGACGAAGGTGCTTCAGTTAAGGATCAGTGAACTGCTGCTGAACATTACTTGTTATTTAAATAGAGCCCTGTGGGTCAACCCGATCCCTGATCCCGCGGGACCGGGAGAGGAGGATGAATATTTACGGGATCGGGATCGAGGTCGTATTTTAGCTAAAAAAAATTTCGGGATTTAACGGGATTGTAATTATGCCTACGGGACGGGATCGGGATTGGGATAGGGATTGGCGAAAAGAATTTTTCGGGATCGGGATCGGGACCGGGTTTCAGTCCTATGGGACGGGATCGGGACGAAAAAACTCAATCCCGCAGGGCTCTGTATTCAAGACTAACTTTAATGACTATCACTGGTGTATTTCTTCTAATGGCTTTGCACACAGTTAATATCGATGACGGTCCACCTAAAGTGCAGACGCGAAAGACCATCTAGAACGCTTTATTTTCAAGTGAAATACCTTCTACCAGAATTTGAATGATTGGTATTTGAACATAACTGAAGTCTAAAACACAGAAATATTCCTTTAACGATCAGCATTTTCGATCCTCTTATCACCTGTATGCAGCTTATTTGCCATTATCATCATTGCTTCAGCTAGCTGTTTTCTTTCATTGAAAGATGTCTGGCATTTTGAGGGCGACAGCAGTTCTTGAAATTTGTCTACATTTGTTTTTAAAACATTTGCTTGACGAGATGCTTCTCGTAAATGTGATATACTTTTTCTTTCTGATGTTGCTTTCCCAATATCGGCTAGCAATACTGCCTTTAGATCTTCAGCAATATCCACTATTAACTCAGTCTGCTCTTCTGTTGAGAGATCGTTAATTTTCGAAAATAAGTTGGCTGTCTTCTCTACAATAATAGCGATCGCTGGCGTAAGTTTGTTTGTAATTGTTGGCGGATTCCAGATAAAGGTTGACTCCTCTTCGATTTCAGAACGTAAATCCAAAATCAAATCTGCTCGACAGTTTATTTTTTGACCACTATGCATATTTTTCCACTCCGATCCAGCTCCTCTCTTGTCATCCAATAGCAAATAATGCGTATGATTCATATCCAAATCGCACATGTTGACAGGATCTTTGGCATCCACATTTTGGTATTTCTTTATTCTTTTCTAATAAAGGAACAAAAAGTAGAGTCATTTTCGCACTCTTCTCTGAATTGGATCTTGATATTAAGTGCTTACGATATTCCTTTGAATTCTAACGAGGGAACTTTTTCCGATGTATACCTCCAATTTCGTTCGTTCATACCTCGTTCGATAGAGGGTTGGCAGTAGGTAAAAAGCCTAAAAGGATTTATCCCGATGACTCTTAAAGATCTAGTTTTATGGACAACTAGGTTTACAGAAACTCTGAAAACATAACCAAAACCTTTCTTAATGCGCCGTAATTGTAACCCACACATTTCTGATTAAAATGAGACGCCTCCCAGCTTTACACGACCTTTCTTTGCAAAGTTATAGAATTTACAAGAAAAGTCCTAAATTAATCACTTCTTATTTCTGTAGCTTTGAGCTGACAATGGACATTTAGGGCTTTTCTTGTACGTTCTATAACTTTGCAAAGAAAGGTCGCGTAGAGCTGGGAGACGTCCCATTTTAATCAGAAATTTCCGGGCTACAATCGTTTCGTTAATTTTTAGAGTTTCTGTAAAACTGGGTCTTCAAGAGCCATGGGGATAAATTCTTTTAGGCTTTTTAATTACTCCCAACCATCTAGCGAATGAGGTACGAATGAACGAAATCAGAGGTATACAGTGAAAAACGTTCCCTCGTAAGCTCCAGTAGATACAAAAGTAAACTGCTTTTTATTCTCATCAGAGGAAGAAAAGCTCGTTGAAGTATTTTGTTTGGAACTACTGCCAAATATACCACTATAAAAGGACTCATCCGCAGAAATGAGTATTACATTCGTGGCCAGCATTTCAAATGAACGCATAAAAATCTATGTGTCTTTTTCATTGGGATGAACCATCTGGATTGACCATCTCGTGTTATGGATAGTATATAATTTAAACATGTAAACCATAGGAAAGAAGAGGCAAACATCCGCCTTAAAATACATTCTTTTAAAAAGAAAGATGTCGGACTCTTTAAGGGCAACAGCATTTCTTGAAATTTGTCTGCATTTGTTTTTAAAACATTTGCTTGACGGGATGCTTCTCGTAAATGTGATATACTTTTTCTTTCCGATGTTGCTTTCCCGATTTCGGCTAGCAGTACTACCTTTAGATCTTCAGCAATATTGACTATTAACTCAGTTTGCTCTTGTGTTAAAAGATGATTAATTTGCAGGGGGCTGCGAGTGGATTTATATAAAATTTTTAGACGGTTACGAGAAAAGAATTTTTATCAAGTTTTGACATGAGTAGCTAGCATTGAGTCATGTGCAGCTTTTAAGTCGGAAACGAAAAAGGTTGATTTGTGAAAAGTAGGAGGAGAATGTTTTTTTCCATACATAATACCCATTTCCCACGTATTTTTACAACATTAAAACTGGTTTTTCTCTACTAGTATGAACTGATGAAGATAAAAAGCATGCCACTACATGTAACTTTCAATGCTCGATTCAGCCATATGTAAATTATTCCATTTGGTCAGTGGATCAAAATTGAGGTAAAAGCCAGTAGGAGACCGGCCTCGAATACAACGCTTGTTGTAAAACGCGTGTAAAATCACAAAAAACCATCGCAAAGAGCTCGCCAATGTCTCATTTTGTAGAAAAATGTTTGCTCTACATCTATAATGAATAAATTTTGTATGTCTAGATCCCAATGTAAAAGAAACATACATTTTTATGCGTTTATTTAAGATGCTGGTTACGAATATGATACTCATTTCTGCTAATGAATAGTTTTAGAGTGAATCTACAAAACTTGAAACTCTGACCCACGATGAACTATAATTTTGAATATACTAATTTTGTGATTTTGTAAATCTTTCTTAAGCAGATGACTCAATGAACCCTACAAACGGGACAACTCGTAATTTGCCCAGATACAAGCTCATCACGAGCCTCGTGATGAGCTTGTGATGAACAGCAATTCTTGGAGAGTCTCCAAGAATTGCTGTCGGTACTTAACGCACCTTCGAGCTATTAAATATTCCTTCCCACCGAGCACACGCTTTGAATGAAGTTATTTATTGACAATTCCTGTACAATATTATTCAAATTATTTGTGCTTGTACTATTGTGTCTTTAATGCTTAACTATGCGCCGGAAGTTGATGTTTTCCTTTTCGTGTCAAATACTACCACGTCTGCAATATTTTTCGGCTCCGGTCCAGCTGGAGAGCTCGGACTGGTTTTAAAATATAAAATGAAGTTAGAGTAATGACGTAACAGAGCCGGATTTTTCAGGTTTTTCTTGGTTTTATTCTCCGAAGGATTTCACCTAAAAAGTTCGAAAAAAGCGCAAAAACTGGCGTATGAATTTCAACAACGTAGAAGAATGACGGCTTAAATCAAAAACTAGGCTCTGTTACGTTGTTCTCATATGTCTTAGGTTCAATTTAAGATCAACCCGAGCTCTGTAGTGCATAATTTGACGGAGAAATCTTCCCGACAGTGTTTATCACTTAGGAAAAAGTCGCTTTTGAGATATAGTGGCGCTAGTGTACGACACACACGTGTTAGGGCTCTTAATAAGGCGCGGTGTGTAATTCAAAAATCAAGTACTATTTTATTTTTAGCTTCTTTATACATGATTCGATAGGGAATTTGAAGCTGATCATCAATATCGCCTTTTTAGCCTTCCCAGTGCACGTTTGTGCGTCGAAAAATTAAAAATACGGGAAGGGTCTAAAAAGCCGAAAAAAGTTGAACACTTTTTCTCCTTTTTATTTTGAAATTCTCAAACAGCTTTTTTCTAATTCAGCGTTGAAAATCGAATTAGAAAACGTGCCTTTTATGCTTCCCATATGTAATGTCATTGGACGAAAATTTATCTTCAAGGATATCTCCAAAGCGGAGACCTCATCGGAAAAAACTATCTAGTTTTTTTGGTAAAAGATAGAATGTTCATTCTTGCTCCATTCGAGCGGTCTTTATTCGAACTACAAAAGTATAACTCGTTTTTTTAAAATTCCGCTCCATTGCTGAGAAATTTCACTTTTGCTAAATCAAGAGTGAAAAATCGGAATTCTCCCCGTAATTCTCAATTTTCTCCACTAGAGCTCGCTTTTATGCGATAAAAATATCATATTCAGAGTCAGCGTCAAAAACTGAGCCCAACGATATATGATTTGAAAGTTTCCGGTGATTTTCATTTTTTGACAACCACAAAATTTTCATCAAAAACATTTTCTAATTCGATTTTCAAGGCTGAATTAGAAAAAAGCTGTTTGAGAGTTTCAAAATAAAAAGGAGAAAAAGTGTTCGGCTTTTAAGACTCTTCCCGTATTTTTACTTTTTCGACGCGCAAACGTGCACTGGGAAGGCTAAAAAGGCGATATTGGTGATCAGCTTCAAATTCTCTATCGAATCATATATAAAGAAGCTAAAAATAAAACAGTACTTGATTTTCGAATTACGCGTGCCTTAAAACTGTCATAACTTTTGATCAAAGCATTGCTTGGTGATGGGAGATGTCAAAGCTCATTATTTGGGTTCAATATCACCCTCCATAAGTTTCATCTGGGTCCCATGCTCTGAAGCTGAGATCCAGCATACCAAAAACTCCTGGATCCGCCACTGGAGATGTCTCATTTTAACTATAAATGTGTACTCTACGAACTGGAGCCACTCGAATCCTTTTTGATTCAGACATTTCATTGAAACACCACAATTTCAGAAAAATCAAGTTTTCTGGGCGTTTAGAAGATCTGTTCAAAATCCTGATTGACAGTGTGATACTGTTATCAATCCAGCGTCCAGGACATGGTCACAACTGCTTCTACAGATTAACAGTCATCCACTTTTGTTCTCAATTCACTTACATGTAATTTTCAAAGCACTTTACCTTTTCAGTACTTTCAGACTGTTCTGAATCAAATAATAAATCCTCATAACCTAAACAAAAATAAACATAAAACACTCGTATCTAAAACGGCTTCATACTATGAAGATATACTACTACTTTATCTTTTCAATCTGATTCTATACGGATGATTAGCAAAAAAAAACATTCTCATAACTCTGAAGATGTATAGAACACCGTTTCAAAAATCAGAGTGCTTGCGATTGAGTTTATCGGTGTTATCGATAATCTATCTTTTCATTTATTTCGAAGTTTACCTGATGTAGTAACAACGATTTCGAAGTGTTTCAAGAAAGTGTCTGTACTATAACAACTGTAAGAGACAGAGGACGCAGCCCGGAGCCGAATTACATAGAACAGCTTGGACCATCTAATCATCGTATCATGATCAAAATTCTATCACAAATTCAGAGTCTGACAACCTCATCTGTATTGACTCATCAGGTTCACAATTAGAAAAACTAAGAGTTTAAACGGGAAATACATGAGAAGGTACGGCAAAATTTTTTAGAAAGCTCGTAGGTAGAGCAGTATAAAAGAAAGTAGAGGGTGACGACGAGATTCTAACATCTAATGTATTGTTGCTTAATTTGATCAGACACCGGTGAGGATGTTTGAGTTTTTGCCTGTTTTACGCTCGTTTTTTTTATTATCTCGAATTCCCGAGGTCATTTTCATATATTTTTCGTTCCGGTTCGACATGGGCTCGTATAAGATACGATTTGCCCCAACTCAATGCCTTGTAAGCATAAATCCCATAAATTTGATTTTTCCAGTTTTTGATGACTTTTTCAGCTTCCTTTAGGGGAGCACCCCCATCTAACATACACTCAAACTTTGCCAGTTTGTTGAGGACACCTTCAAGAGCATACGTGCGCAATAATTCACGGGTTGGATAAGTTCTGGCGGAGAGGTGAAATTTTTAAAAATTGAAAAATCGATTTTCCCAGCCTAGTTTGCACCTAGGGCAAAAAGTATTTCTTGCGCAGTCGTCCGCGTCAACGAAGCACTTTGAAACGTTTATGTCAATACAAACGTTGTTCATTGCACTCATCTCTACGGGATGACATAATTTCTTTTACTGGAA